TATTAGAGGGCAAGACATATATAGACCAAGGAACCGCCATATCTGATGCGTCAAATCTGTGTACTGCAGTGGGAGGAGATACAAACAAAAATTCAGGGGCAAAACATCAATCATGTGGGAAGGGGGATAATAATATATATTGCTATCGTAGACATGAAAAATGATTATAAAACGCAAGAATATTTTTTACTTGCGAGAGTATGCTTTAAAGGCAGGAGATAACAATTAACCTCATAATGATATTGGGCTGTTTCATAGAAACAGCTTACACTAGAGTGCTCAAAGTTCGTTACCTTTTCAATTGCATAATTGAACACATATTTTTCCATAAATATTAACTTTTTAGAAAAGCTCTCAAAGTATTTGGATGTGTCACATGTAAATAAAAATGAATATTTTTCAAAAATTTTCTCGATGTACTTTAAGATTTTTGAAACCTCTCATAACAATTAAAGTTATATTAAATTATATTAGAAAAAAATAGCCCAATCGGGATAGGTTTAAATATCTGCTTGCTAATTTGTATCCTTTATTTGTCAACATTTACAAGTATGGTTCTTAGAACAATTATTATTAAATACCCCATTACAAATTATCACTTGCCTTTCGTTGCTTTTAAATTTATCAGGCGCTACAATTGTGTGAGTCTGGGAATTGTTATCATTGTCATTGGAGTAGATACTCCAAGAATGTTCATCTCATTGGAGACCCCAAAATTCTCATTGGAGACCCAAAAATTTTTATTGGGGATCCCAATTTTTATTGGACATCTCAATTTTTTCTTCACAGTTCCCAGATTTCGTTGGAGACCTCTTGGATTTTTACATTAGGTCTCTACTAAAAATCTGCAGTGGTCTCTAATGAAAAAGTTGGTGGTTCAATTGATAAATGGAGGTCTCTGAAAAGATAGCTGTGTGGGACTTCAATGAACTGGGGTCTCCAAAAGTATTCCAATGGTGATAACTCCTTGCTATTTAATTTACTGTTTATAAAATTTTCAAAATATAAACTGTGGTAGTTAAAGATGCATAATAGGTATAAAACATATTATGGACATGCACACATCGTCAACGATCCAAGATCAAAGAAGATCTTTAAACCGTCTCCAAGCTGTCATTATGTAATATTTAGTGGTGGGACACTCTGTATTTTATACTTAAACCATGAGTTTATAAAATGTCGTCTTGATCATTTTTCAATGGGTTGTATACTATGTACAGGGTGTACCAAAAAACATGGGAATTCAGTGACGAATTGGATATCGTCTTTGTTATTAATTAGCATTGTAATACCTAATTTCAAAAGCCATAATATTATTATGTCTGCTAGAGTTTATTTTATAAAAAGGGTAAAAGACTGTATAAAGGTGTGTCTATTATGTCTCCGCAAGATGACCAGTGAAAACGGACAAGTTTATATTGTTTGTATACTGCAATTTTCTTGTTTTACTAAGTACATCCTTATGTAGTCAAAACAAAAATAAACAAAATGTGAATATAGCATACGAAACTCTTACGGATTGCAGCTTTCTCAGAAGGTATCCATGCACTATACTAAATCAAAAAATTATTCAAAAAGACGATATCGAATTCGTTACTGAATTCCCATGTTTATTGGGACACCCTGTAATAAATCTCAAAAATTTGTGCCTTAATGTGCTAAAGTAATTTTTAATATTATACCAAATATGATGAAATTTACTCTTCATATATAATTATTTTGTGATTGTAAATATTCGTTGAAGTCGTTGAAGGAAGATGAGAACGTGCAGCTGGAGAGATGAGAGAGAGAGGAGAAGAAAGAATACATTACCCAGAAAGGATCAGTCGACTGAACGGATTTCCTTTAGTCTTTATTCTTATATTCAGGCACCCTGCAGTTGAAAACTTAGTTACTTCATTAACAAACAATTCAATAATTATCCACAGAATATTTTGAAGGCTGGACTCCAAGTGAAACTTTTCTTTATAATTTTATATGTTCAGGTCTCATAAAAATCTCATCCTTAAGGTGTATCTCTGTATACACAGTTATAACCATAAAATACTGAAATAAGAAGACGACATTGTAGCAATACTCTATTTGATGTTGTTTCAAAGCAAATGGTTGTACTAGACACTTGTAAAATCACAAATTTAGTGAAATGGGTCTGAATACACTGCATATTTGTTGTGTCTGACGCTAATCAGACTTTTTAAAGTAATAGCTTAATTATAAAAGTCGTCTTACTATTCCAGAGTTTTCTGGTTACCAATGTAACTAAAACTATAAACTGCCTCGTACCATTTTATTTTACAGAAAATGATATAATAACACAATTTTAATAAAAATATGTGTTTAAATCTTGGATTACCATATACCCCTTTTTTTGTTCGCTCAATGCATGAATTTTACAGGCAAGGTTTCTGGCCACGATACATGAGAAAGACGACTTGAAAGTGGTCTTTTATGTAGGAAATCATTCGCGGCATTCATTTGTCGACCGACATACATGGTGTCCCACGAAGCATGACAGTTGGTAAATAGTTTTAAATGTATTCTCCCATAGTGTGTTAAGCTATTTGATACCAAAGAGAATAATAAAAATATCCCATTGCAGAACACATATTGAAATTGCCCAATAAAGATCAATGAAATTTCGCGTTTACTTCTAAAATTCGGTTTATGAATGAACAAATTATTTTAAAGATCAAAGAAGAACTTCAAGTAGTCTGTTTACTGTTTCGTAGGACATCCTGTATGATCTTGAATTAACCGTTATTGCAAATAAATAAATACGACTGCAACATATAACGATGCGTTGACAACTTTTAAAGCAAGGGATGTCACAAAATAAATTATTTATATTTTAATTGTTCTATTTATTTCTTTATGTCTTTGAATTATAAAATTAATTAAGAATTATAATCATGGTAAACTCTAAGTCTTAAAATTTAAAAAAGTCATCTGCAATTGTACCTTAAAGGAATTGAGTCTTTGGAACAAAATCAAACATTTAAACCTCAATATCTTTAAAGCCCGATGTTGTAAACCTTTGATATTTCAAACTCAGATTATTTGATCTAACAGAATTCATAGTTTGAAATATCTAAGGTCTACAACATTTAGTTCCAAAGATATAGGGATTAAAAAATCAGAGCTTGTGGCAAAGACTCAATTCCTTTAGAGATTTGACTCCCATATCCCAGTTACGCAAACAAAAGTACATTACTGTGAGAACCAGAAAACTCTAGGCTCAAGTTATAACTTCAAATAGTCCAATGAACACGAGATATTGCAATTATGCAATGTACTTATTTCATGGAATACGAGATTTAATAAATTACTGCAGTAATTGTCAAAAATGCAAAGAGATTAAAATTTATAAACATTAATTGTTTTCGGAGTGTTCATTATATGTATAAAGTGGTCGGTGTTATACATGAATACAATGAAGACGATTTTTTCTATTTAAAGTTTTGATTTCTAACATGCTTTTTTCCAATGACAAGTTTACAAGTAAACAAGTAAAAAAGAGAGGCTGTTATTTAACAGCTTCTCTTTGTTTTCATGTTTATATGGGTTGCCATGCTGTTTAAAAGTTTGGAAGAGATCAAGATTTAAATAAAAAGTCCTATTCATTGTATTCAAATATACGACAACGACTGTATTATATTTTAAAGTTTTTTTACGAATAAAAATGAAATCTATTCCAAATAAAAAACACAAATACTTAAAAAAACTGTTGGATGTCTAACTAAAAATACAGCATTCAAGTTTTTCTTTTTTCCTTACAGTTTGGCAAAACTACAAATATCGTCCTTATTTTTGTACCTACGGCAGACGTTCTAATATTTGGTAATGACAATTTGGAAATGACAATTTGGAAATGACAATTTGGAAATGACAATTTGGAAATGATAATTTGGAAATGACAATTTGGAAAAGACAATTTGGAAATGACAATTTGGTAATAACATTTAAGTAATGAAAATTTGGTAATGACAATTTGGTGATGACAAATTGATAATGACAATTTGGTATGACAATTTGGTAATGACAAATTGGTAATGGCAATTTGGCAATTACAATTTGGCAATGACAATTTGGTAATGCCAATTTGGTAATGACAATTTGGAAATGACAATTTGGAAATGACAAATCGGTAATGACTAATTGGTAATGACAATTTGGTAATGACAATTTGGTAATGACAATTGGGTAATGACAATTTGGTTATGAGAACTTGGGGACAATAGTTTGATAATTTGGTAAGTATACAATGTACACTTACCACGTTTATTTTTTATCTAAACTGAACAACTTTCCCTAGCTGGCAGGAAGTCAGTACTATAATTCAAATGAACCGGAGTTATCGGTACAATCTAACAAAAACGCCCAGCCGGAGTTATCAATACAATCTAACAAAAATGTCCAGCCAGAGTTATCAATACAATTTAACAAAAATGTCCAGCCAGAGTTATCGGTACAATCTAACAAAAATGTCCAGCCAGAGTTATCGGTACAATCTAACAAAAATGTCCAGCCGGAGTTATCAGTACAATCTAACAAAAATGTCCAGCCAGAGTTATCGGTACAATCTAACAAAAATGTCCAGCCAGAAATATCAGTACAATTTAACAAAAATGTCCAGCTTCAGGAAACCAACTAAATGGTTTGAAGTCTCATGCTATGTGTATAATTCTGTTTAATGGTTGGAAATAATATCAAGAGAGTGCTCGGCCAGAGAACCAACAGGGTGGGAGCGTCAAACACCCCCCATCAGCCTGTTTAGGGTTAAATTTCCTTTTTTATGTTACTTTTAAAAATTACATAATCTTAGATAACGAGCTATAAATGTTTCTTAAGGAAAATTAGCAATAGAAATGTGTGAAAACTTTAAGTTAAAACTTGAACATAGTTTTAAAAATCTCCAAACCTAGAACAAGTTTAAAGTATTTATTTCTATTGAAATATTTTATCTAAAACAGTTTAAATACAAAATAAAATTTTCCCAAATAAACATAAACATATATACATATCTATTTTAACACTAATGAGTAACAACATTTATCTATACAACATATTTCAATATTATCATAACAAGTGGTAAGCTGAAGGTTGTTCTGAAGCTCAAACTGAAAAAAAAACTTCTTGAAATATTTGTCGATGAAAAAGAAAATGCAAAAACAAGATATNCTCTCTCGAAATTGTAAAAATAGCTAATACTGACTGCACTGCCCCAAACTGTAATGTTTAATCATTTCAATTTTGTGACAGTTTGCAAAGATATGACAGTAAGAAAACTCAAGATTGAGGCAAATTATGAAATCCTATTGATAATGAAAATTGGTTAATTTGTAAAAATGACATGCTGTCAAATGAAATGCTGAAATGTTTTAGACATTTTTAAAAAAACAGTAATTTAATGCGCCTGTGGTTGGTTTAGAGACCACTCCCTATAAAGGGAGTGGCTGACTAGACATGGCAGTTGAGCTGAGAATGCATTATTGTAGTAAAATTTTTAGGATTTGAGACCTATCATGACGTTTTTTACAGGAAGATCGCAAAATCAATCTTTCAAATCCTCATATAGATTATCCATTTCGGAGGGATAAACTCCCTTTAAATAATTAGTTTCAAGAAGTTTCCCTGGCTGATGATGAACTGTAATCTTGAACAGGACATCCGAATTCTTTTTTATTCATACAAGCAGCATACCCCATTAGTAAACCAAGGAAACTTTGTTCATGCAGACCAGTTACTAGGTGGGCCTGGGGTCCTCTAAACAAATGGAAACGTGACACTATTTTAAAATTTGCATTATCTGAACCATGGTACAATGATGATGGTCATAATGTTTACCCGTACCAGCCTGTCTAATGTACATAGTATGCAAGTGACCCAGCACGGTTTCTGCAACAAACGAATACCTGCACCTTCTAACCGCCCTATATTTACCTGGCGAATACCAAAACCTTCTCTCCGCCCTATATTACCTGGTGAATACAGACACTTTCTCTCCACTCTATATTACCTGGCTAATGCTGAAACCTTCTCTCCGCTCTATATTACCTGGGGAATACAGACACCTTCTCTCCGCTCTATATTACCTGGCGAATTCTGAAACATCCTCTCCGCTCTAAATTACCTGTAGAATACAGACACCTTCTCCCCGCTCTATATTACCTGGCGAATACAGACACCTTCTCCCCGCTCTATATTACCTGGCGAATACAGACACCTTCTCTCCATTCTCTATATTATCTGGTGAATACAGACACCTTCTCTCCGCTCTATATTATCTGGTGAATACAGACATCTTCTCTCCGCTCTATAATACCTGGCGAATACTGAAACATCCTCTCCGCCGTGGGTCTCGTAGGGTGCGAAAAACATGGCAGGTTGTCGATAATCATCTCCATTATAATCCAACTTTAAAAAACATATAATCATATTATTAATAGTCCTCAGAGTGAGAACCCTATTTGATGAACATTAAGATTTCAAAAATATAAATTCCTAAATATTTATGAGAAAGAACCTGAACACTTGCCTACAACTTCTTATACTAATGCTTTGCAACCTTTGGGTGTAATTGTTGGATATTTAAAAATTTTAGATATTTGATTTTGCAGAATTCATAGTTAGAAATATCGAAGGTCTACGACATCAGGTTTCAAACATATAAGGATTAAATCATTAGAGCCTGAAGCAAGTGTTTAATTCATTTGTCTGATTATTTTTAATTTAAACTTTGTTAAAAAGTTCTTTGCTGCAAACTCAAATTTACTAATCCCTATATATTTATATCTTTGCAACTTTGAGGTTGTAAAAATTTAATATTTCAAACTTAGATTATTTAATATAACATAATTCATTGTTTGAAATATCTATGGTCTACGACATAGAGTTGCAAAGATATAGGAATTTCTGATCCATGAAGGCTTAATTACTTTGGGAAACCCTACCTTTGAAACATCTCTCCAACCAGTTGGCGTCCAATGATCCTTAAAACCAGGTCCATTGGCGTAGCTTATTGTCTAAAAGGGAATAGAAAATAAAGAGGGGTAATCTCAAGGAATAATAATTGCTTTAAAACATTCTTTAAAAATAGAATATTTGCAAATTATCTTTTTTTCAATATCATGATCTGAGTTCGTTTCCGTTTTTCCATTTGACGGCCCATTTTTTTAAAAATAATCTTTTTTGTTTGTTTATTTTTTTGTAAAGTTGTATTTGTAATCTCATTTTTTGAAGATAATTCTGCTGCGGCCCAGTAAATTAGAGAAATAATTTTAATACCTACTTTCACCCATTAAATGTAAATTTTTGGCTCCGCTATTTTCTACCTTTTCGATTTTACTTTCATTTAGCTAGTTTTACATGCCTAAAGTACATTTTGTTTAAATTGGGATTTTTTTATCTAAAAATTTAACCAAATTATCTTGGAATCTCAAAACCAAGCTTAAACATTCCCCTGGTTCTTCCAATTTCCCTAATCAATATTTGAGGCAAATCGATCATATGGTTCTTGATTTATGATAGGACATCCAAACAAGCAAATCTATCTATAAATTTGGCTTGTCTGTCTGTTTGGGTGTCTGTTTGTTTGTATCCAATAAATGTCAAAACGGCTGAACCGATCGGGCCCGAATTTTTTGTGGGACATCACGTGACCACATGCAGGGAAGGTTTGTGAATGATACAAATTTTAAAAAATGTGCTTTAAAGGTTTTTAATTTTGTAAAAAAATTTAATTAACCAACCTTATCTGGTTCGTAAACAGTTCCCAGGATGTTGTTTCCTCTTTTTGGATATCCACTGAAATACAAATATTTTAATTTTTTTCTATATCCACTATTTCATAAGATATTTTGATATCCAATATAATAAATTTTTTTTAAATTTATCGATATCTAGTATTTTATAAATTTTTTTAAATATCCACTAAAATATAAATATGTTTTGATATCCGCTATAATATAAACATTTTTGGATATCCACCATAATAATAACATGATTTTTAACATCCATTATAATATAAATATTATTGGATATCCACTTTATCATATAAATATTTTCACACAATTAAATTTAAAAAGTGTTCTACAAAAGACATTTTTCAAGTGATAAAGGACTCCTTCGTAATACAAATACATAATTAAACCGACCAACTTATGGATATTTTTAATTTTTATTTTTCCTGCAACTTGTGTTGTGAGGCTTGTGACTAAACATTTAGTTTGTAAATTTAAACGCAATGTTTTGAAAATAATAAAAACAACAATCGTAAAATTATAAGATCGAAGAATATTTAAGAAATATATTTTTTAACGTTTATATTTTTATGTAGATACCTCATCGTTACTGCGTGACTGTGATCTGCAGTAACCAATACCAAGGTTTCCTTGATATTTACCAAATCTGATTTAAATTATATATTTGAAAAAATTTTTTTACTTATGGTTTTTGTTTATTCGTTCGAATTTTTAAGAATTGATTAACTGATCATTGATTGTTTCAAGAATTAAATAACTGATCATTAACTGTTTCATATAAATTTTGAATTGATCTCCGAACATTGATCGTTTCATGAATTATGAATTGATTAATTGATTATTGACCGTTGCATTAAATGATTAAATGATCAATGACCATTTTAAGAAATGATTATGGATCATTAAACGTTTTATTAAGTGATTAACCAGAAATCATTGACCGTTTCAAGAATTGATCCACTGATCATTGACCGTTTCAAAAAACGTCCGCACCTTTTTATACGCACCTTTCTAAAAGAAAAACTGAAGTTTTCTAAATGTTTTTAGAAAAAGGTCTGGGAAACAAATAACATATATATTTTTTCCTAATGCAGTGTGAACTGCTTTGTCTAACTCAACAGTCTCTTCTAAAGCCATTTTACCCTAAACATTAAATTACGTTAAGTTATGCACAATCTTCAAGGGACTGTTACCGTATTTCAAAAACTAAAATATCTTCGACACTATTGATGGTTTCGTTGTGATCTCTTAAAAAATATTACGCTTCTATTCTCTTTAAAGGGAAAGACCGGCTAGTTATGGTAGTTGAGCTGAAAGTTAAGAATTGTAGAGAAAAACCTTAGGATTCATTTGATACCAATATGGTGTACAATTTTTAAAAAATGGAGCGTAAAGTCGTTTGTAATGTTTTACCAGTTGTTTCAGCCAGCAGAAGACACATTTTTTTTTACAATTATTTATTAACTCGGACAAAACATTTAATTTTTTTTTATTAGACTAATTTGCCCTTTTGAAACAAATCTTTTAAAAGAAAGTATCGATGATAATCATAATAGAACCGATATAGAATCAATTATTTCATTATGATCATTTTCTTTGCTGTTTCTATGATTTTTTTCTCGCCGATTTCTTCAAAATATTGTCTTCACAATAAAAATAAATAAAAACCTTCAACAAATAACCTTGCATAAACCTGCAATATTTCAATATGAGTTTTAATAATTTATATTCAATGATCTTCATTATTTTTCTCAATCTGTTATTGTTAAAATGTTATTGTTTACATGTTGTGTCCATCTTATTAAAAACTTGTAAAAAAAAACGTTTCCACTGCTGGCTGAACAAAACAGCTGAAATATTATAAACGACTTTACGTCCGTATTTAAAAACTGTACACAATAAAAATGTCTCATTGGCATCAAATATCTCTTAATGTTTTTCTCCATAATACTGCATTCTCAGCTCAACTTTGTCACAGAGCCAGTCTCTCCCTTTACACGCATAAAGTGCTGTTCATATCATAATGTTGGAATATAGTCTTTAATCAGACACTATGATAGCATGGTAAATGATAGTTTTAAAATATAGCTTTAATCAACTTAAATTATTTAGTAACAAAAATAGATCACCGTTCACTCTAAATTTTTAAATAAAAAAAACTCTCAAAATAAGCGATTTTTTGTAAATTATTTGGCAGCAAAATAAGAGATTTTTTTATTTATAAATTTAGATAAGACCGCTATTGAACTGCTAGTTCCCATTAGTGACGAGACCAGTAACTATTAGTGAAGTTGTTTTAGACGGATCTTGTCAAAACAAAACTTGATTGTACTCATGAAAAAATGATATTCGATTAAATTTTAGATTTTTTTTTGTACAGGGTGACCTGTAAAACATGAAAATCTAAAAAACTTTGGTAATTCATAATTATTTAATTATCTTCAAAACTTTACTTTTCATGTTTTAGTTATTTAGATCTTTAAAAGAAGATTCCAAAAATATCTTTAAATTTTTCCTAGCAAAAAAATTGACAATTTTATAGATTCAAAACTAAATTACAGGGTGTTCTTTTGGGTTTTTTCCGAATTCAAAATCTTGTTTTTTTGGGTTTTTTAAAATTGAAAATAAAATAAAAAACCCAATTTTGAAGTTACGTCAAATAAAAAATATGTTTTGAAAACAAGAAATCCTGAGGAAAGCGCAGGAAAAGACAAGACAACATTTAGTTTAAGAAAAAAGGCGCTTTTAAAAAAAAACCTCACCCGGTCAAAATTGACCTTCTCGTCACTAATGGGTTAAATTATCAATTTTCAAAGAGAAGATAGTTGATGTATTTTCGGGCATCAAACCTTATAGAAATCCAACGTATAGACACCGCTACGTATAGCAACATGGCGTATTTTCCGGGAGAACATTTTTTATATTTTTGAGAAATTAAATAATCAGTGTAAAGTAGATACAATTTTTATAAAATCCTTTCATTGAAATGGTAAAAGGGAATTTTATGAAATCATATTCGCATTACTGGAGAACTTTTTAATACTTTTGAGAAATTTTTTTTTCTAAAAATAAAACTGTAGACAGCATTTTTATAAAACATTTTTTTAAATAGTAACATGCAAATTTATGTATAACCATATAATCATTCATTTCTCATGTTGTCAGTACATAATAAAATCTGGGGGACCTTAAACACAATAGAGAGCAGTACAAATGTACATATTAAAATATTTTGCTCCTTTCATGTCTGGGGTATGTTAAAAAAATAGAAATTATGAAAATGATAATGATAAGCTACAATGTTTTACAAAAACGTTTAATTCTCAAAAACATAAAAAATTTCTCCCGGAAAATACCCCATGTTGCTGTAGCTGTTTCTATACGTTGGATTTCTATAAGGTTTGACGCCGTATTTTCGATCAGACAGAGCTGGAAACTTTTGAACAGTGGATATCGGGATTAATGCTTAATCCACGCTTTTTCTTAATCTCGAGATTAGATAATGCTTGTTTTCCTCTTGTTGTTAATCTCCAGATTAATTAACCGATCGGAATTAAGGATATCTCATTCTAAAGTTTTCAGCTCAGAGCTTTAAACACCTCACTCTATGAGTAGCCATTGTATATTAGCATAATTCTTTTTAAAAGTCTGAAAATTAAACTCACCAGATTTTCATGATGTGCGTGATCAATTCTCCCGCCTTCAACCATCAAAACAAAACCATTGTTATTCTTTGATAACCGGTTTATTGCCTGTCTAGATAAAATATTTTATTGAAAAGAGGAAAATATTTTCCTATCGGATTTCTGGAAAAAATACCTTGTCATTTCTGATAAACTCGGTTGTCCTGAAGAAAATAGAAATCCTTATTATTTTTTTTTATTCAAAAACCAAAAAAAGGAATGTCTTATGAAATGAACATAGCAAAAATTGATTTAGAACGACTGTTAGATCTTTTATATGAATTACTGACATGAAACACACATATTGTGCTCTGTACATTGAGAAGTTTGTAAAGGTAAAAGTATTTAGCTTTGTAGAAAAAACCCATAAGATTCTTTAAATGTCGTCTTCCTATTCCACAGCTTTATGAGTATTACTTTTTACATTTGTTTCTAAAAAGTTTATTACCTGACTCAGATTTATCACGTTTTGTTTCAAAGTCCATGTGACTGGGAGAAAATAAACCCACCGTCTAAACAACACAAAGGGTTACTTTAGCTTTTATATTTTTTAAACATAAATTGGCAAAACTCTCAACAAGCTTTGCGTAAAAGCTTGCAACCTTTAAATAACCGTGATTTTACAATAAATATTCTGATTTTGTATTATTGATTTGGTGAAGAAAGAAAGAAGTGTAAAGTTGCATGGAAACAAGAGTTTAAAAAAGTCTCATTCTTTGTTAATATCCAATTACACAATACATAGACAGTAGAAGGACACAGAGAGAGGGTTTAAGATTAAATTATCTATATTTTACAAAACAAATATAGACTTAAAGTGAATGTTCGCGAAAAATGAAAAGGGGTATAGGCTTACGGTGAAAAATAAGCGCTTTTGATCGCTACTAATCTTACTTCTATTTGTTGCGTCTATCACGAGGAAAAACGACTCATACCGAAGAGCGTAGCGTCCATACAAATTCAGAAAGTTGCAATAATTAACAATTTATTTAATTCCAAAGAAATCATTCAGATATTACAACCAATAGACATCTTTTATTTTTCGACGCATTCGTGTATAGTTGAAATTTCATAGTATATTTTTTATGATCTGATTTATTTTTTTTAAAAATCAAAAATGTTATTAAATATTAACTATCTACGAATGTGTTGAAAAATAATCGATGACTATTGCTTGTAATATCTGAATGATTTGAATGAATGAGTCGTTTTAACAATTTTCTTCTGATAGAGAAGTAAGATTAGTAGTGATTAAAAGTGCTCTTTTTTCGCCGTAAGCCCATACTCCTTTTCATTTTTCGGGATCACTCCCTTTATCATGGGCCAATAAATTGTAAAATTTGTGTAAACAGTTATAAAAATAAATGTTTGGTTTTCGTTTTTATACCATCTTTGAGCTCTATTCTTCACAATAATGTTTTTTGTTATCAATATTTTACCCCTAAAATATATATTTCTAGCTCAAATATTCATAATTTTGCATCAATATTTTCAACTACAAAGCATGACACTTCAGAGATGATTGAAGAAATTCATTTTTTTTTTCCTGCTGGTTGTGAACTTGTTTCTTGTTGTAGATAGCAATTAAATTGTTAGATTTAACGAGGTGAAAATTATACTTTGAGGAAATTAACCATATCTTAAAATTTTAATTTAAATTTTTGAAAAAAATGTAGTTTTACCTTTTTCCCAAAAGTCCACCTTTGAAGTTCCCCTGTATTCTTAAGCACCTGTTCAACAAAATAGATTTTGAAAAAAATAAAATATTTATTTTTTTACAATTTTATTCAAAAAGTTTTCAGTGAAATAAAAGAAAAGAAAAACGTTGAATACTACTTCTAAATAATAAGAAAGTATAAAAAATAAATTCTGGCAATAAAAAGTTTAATGTTTGCAATTTTTGTAAAAAAGATGATTATGATTAACCCTGCAAATGTGTTTTTGCAAAATTTGTGTACTCCGTTCCATATGGCATTCTAGAATTAAAAATTATCAAAATCTGACAACTGAAAGTGGGTTAAAACAAAGATTTAGTTTGTTACAGGAAAAAGTAGTCATTTGCAGGCAGTGTGCCTAAGGACTAAAGGCAGTTAGTATAAAAACTGAGGTTTAGACCTAAAAGGGGGGCAATGGGTATTTGGGAAAAGTCATAAAATTTCAACAGCCTCAGACCAATACTATTTGAGTTATTTAAAAAAAAATTTCAGGGGGGCCAAATTGACCCCCCCCCCTCCCCCAGCAGGAATAGGGTTAATTGATATTAACTGCAAAGGTTTTCCGTACTTGGAAAAAAAATATTATTTTGATCACTTGTCTCAAATTCTAATTTTTTAATCCTTATATATCTTTTCAACCTGATGAGTGATGGTAAAAACCTTTAATGTTTGATAATTTAATCAAGCAGATTTCTGTAAAGTGGAATAGCAAAGTTCGACAATTTCAGGTTTCTAAGATAAAAGGATATTGACGTTCAGGAAAAAAGGCGAATTTAAAATTTCTTTTTCAATAAATTACCTCAATTCCAGCTGATTTCATTTTATCTACGAGATCTATATCGTTTCTCACTCCTGTACAATAAAAATATATTTTGAATATGATTTGAATATATTTTGAATATATTTTGAATAAATTTTGAATATATTTGAATATATTTGAATATATTTTGAATATAATTTGAATATATTTTGAATATATTTTGAATATATTTTGAATATATTTTGAATATATTTTGAATATATTTTGAATATGATAAATGACCCATTTTAACCCTTTTCCTACTTACTGCTATCTCAGAATGTATAAGTTATTATGAAAGCTCTACTAAATTCGTATCAGTCCGACCCAGGGAGTAAGGAATAGAAGGGAGATATAACTGACGCAGTTCGCCCTACCATGCTTTGCATTTGAATGAGAAATATTTATCTGATGTACAATTACCGCGTATACAATAACCTATTCTGAATATTTCTTATACAAATGGAGTACCGTCTGCAAAGCATGTATAATCATATGGTAGGGCGAACCGCGTCAGTTATATCTCCCTTCTATTCCTTACTCCCTGGTCCGACCCTATCCTCGTTCTGTATACAGGGATTAATTCTGCTCCATGATTGGCTATATCTTAACATTTCATTAAACAGACGATATTTAAAAAGTATTTTCGCAAAATCCGCCTGGCTTGTCCGATGACACGTAATTAGCAGTGTTTACTGATTTCTCCTTTACCCAAAGGGTACTTATTTAAAACATTTCAAATTTTTTTCTGCAAAAAATCTGCAAATTGGCAAATTCGAAATAGATATTGCGAAATCCAGTTATTTCAGACCTAAAGGGAAGGCTATGGGTATTTACAATGAATTCTAGATATATGAATACATCGACCGTCATAAGTTTTTCGATGATTCTAAAAAACCTTCTTTTTATTTTTATTTCAAGGTAAATTAATAGCCATGAAATATGACTGCAATTGATATATCAATATTAAACTCATTTTTACGCGGCATTATAAAAAATTCTTGCTATGTAATCATATATCTGGGATTCACTGTAAGAAAAGTCAGAAAATTTCAACAGCCTCAGACCAATACTTCTTGATTTATGTAAAAAAAACTGCAGGGGGCTGGCGACGCCCCCCCCCCCCCGCAGGAGTAGGGTTAAGTAAGGAGCATCAGTTTGCAAGAAGAGTCAACCAATATTGAATGGCCTAAGACGTGGACAATTCCTTTTTGGAATTTTGACAAAAAATCAAAAAAAGAGGGGGGAGGGGTCCTGTTTCCGTCACCCCTACTAGGAAATAAATTAATTTTAATTAAACGTTATAGTACGCTGTTCAGATATTAAATGTTATTTTAATTTTTCTGCCAATATCCTTTCAAACGTAAATTTATTGTAATACAAATTTGTCTTGATAAAACGGGCAAGATTAGGTTACAAAGATATGCATGGTGGTTATAGCAGAATAGAGTTTGAGGCGAGTAATCAGTTCCTTAATCTTTATCCGATGCAAACCTAAGCCATAAAAGTTAAACCTTTTTCTTTTCATTAACATTAAAATTTTAAGGAAATTGTAATTTTATCATGTATCTATACTTTCATCTTTGTTTTCCATAAATCCTGTTTTTTAATGTAAATCATAATTCAATTATTAATCCCTTATATGNATTTTTATGTTAGTGATGTGAAATCAAGGGATATTTGTATGTTGGTGATGTGAAATCAAGGGACTTTTAATGTGCTTCTCATTGAATTTGAAAATCTCAGTCCTGATTTTGCATAATAAAATAGTTAGGATAATGTATCTTCGAACTACTGAATGAATAATTTCGAAGACAATAGGAATAAATTGTGAGTTTAATATAATTAAAAAAAAATACTTTCTGAACTGGAGGAGGAAGGAGGGGGAGGGGGGGAAGAATAAAAAATATTTTTTACATTTTTTCACCTTTTCTTGGCATTTTTTTTAACCCTTTAGCACCCAAACTACAACAGTTATCGATTTATTTTTTTCAATGAGCTGGCCTTGAAAAATTGGGCTAGGAACATGCATTTCAACATTATACCTATTCGCTAATGCCTTTTTCTAGGGGGGGGGGGGCGGGGGACGCCCCCAGTCTATACGAAGACTCATAATGTATACTAATCTTCTCACAAATGCCATTTATTTCCTGAGTAAGAATTTTAAAATTAGCTCCAATTTTGGATTGTTCTGAATTTCTGTTAAAATACTTCAATTATTATAAACTTCCATCAAAGATAATTTGTTTGTTTTTTGTAAAAATTAATATATTATAGCTCCATTTTTGACTATTCTGAATTTTTTAAAAATTCTTAGACTATTTTTAGACCACATTAACTCCTGACTGTTCTAAATTTCTGTTAAAATACTCCATTTTAACTTTTAACTCTATTCCTGCTGAGGGGGGGGGGGGTAAATTTGACCCCCCCTGTATTTTTTTTTACATAACTCAAAAAGTATTGGTCTGAGGCTGTTGAAATTTTCTGACTTTTCCTACATACCCAAAGACCCCCCATTAGGCCTAAAACCGGGCTTTAATACTAACTGCCTGAGTCCTCAGGCACAGTGCCTGAATGACTGCTTTTTTCTGTAACAAACTAAATCTTTGTTTTGACCCACTTCCACTTGTGAGATTTTGATAAAATTTAGCTTTTTGGAAAGCCTTTGACATAAAGAAACGAATTGCACAAGTTTTGCGAAAACAATTGCAATTTGTTTGCAAACAACCTGTCAAAAGAAATTTGCACATTTTTATTTTTTCTTGATTAAAATTCAGGTTATTTAAAATTTCGTAAAATTTTTTGCATATTTGAAATGGCATGGTCAAGGGCTTTTCAAAAATGTATAATTTTTCATTTTTTGGACAATTATTTTTTGCAAACATGTTTACTATATAACTGAATTTTGCGATAAAAAATTCAATTTTTGCAAATTTGCAAATTTTTTTTGCAGATATTAAAAGTAGAGCACAAGAGCTTTCCAATGATGTATCATTTGTCATATTTGGACATAAAACATGGAATTTAGAGGGGGGGTCAAATTGACCCCCCCCCAGCATATCCTGGTTTTCAAGTACCCCAGCAGAGATAGGGTTAAGACTATTTTTAAATCACATTTATCCTAATATTTGAACATTTATTTTTTTAGCATAGTCTTACCTCATTTTTGATAATTCTAAAGGTTTCTATTAAAATACACTATTTTATGACTTCATCTATCTTTACTTCATAAAATAGGCGATGTAAATGCTCAGTAAGAATTATAAAATTACCTCCATTTTTGACTGTTCTGAATTTCTGAAGTCCTCCCCCAAAGGCTAAAGCAAGATTGCCAGACTCAACATTATTAAGAAGCTGGGTAGCAATGTCCAAACAACTAAAATAAAACTATACATTCTAAATAACGAAGGATTTTGCCAAATAAACCTTTAACACGGAAGCTATAAACTAAAACTTTTGCAGCCAAGGAACATTCATGTATAGAGCTGCAAAAAATCATTTGTATGTTAGTGATGTGAAATCAAGGGACATTTGTATGTTAGTGATGTGAAATCAAGAGACATTTGTATGTTGGTGATGTGAAATCAAGGGACATTTTTATGTTAGTGATGTGAAATCAAGGGACATTTGTATGTTGGTGATGTGAAATCAAGGGACATTTGTATGTTAGTGATGTGAAATCAAGAGACATTTGTATGTTGGTGATGTGAAATCAAGGGACATTTGTATGTTAGTGATGTGAAATCAAGGGACATTTGTATGTGGTGATGTGAAATCAAGGGACATTTGACTTTGGGACGTTTCAAAACCAGTCCGGTATTAAACGTAGTAGCAAAATGATAATTTTGTTTTGGGTTTTAACCTTATAAACTAGCTTAATACAAAAAAAAACAGTTTTTGCCACAAACTCAAATTTTCTAAACCATATATCTTTGCAATCTGATGGTGTATAACAATTTAATATTTCAAACTTAGATAATTTTTCTGAAAGAACTTTTTAATTTTATATATTTACAACATTTGGTTGCAAAGATATACAAAATCAGAGTTTGTGACAAAGATTTAATTCCTTAGATGCATTAAAAAAAAAAAAATTCCACAACTTTCTGGTTACCACTGTAATTAACGAGAATTTTACCCTTTTTTCTGGTCTGCTGGTATATCAATATCAGACTCCCAGTCCCTACTAGGGCTGTTCGAATATACTGCCCCTGGGGTAGCATGAGTCAATCTAAAGAAAAGGGTTTGTTCAAATATTTAGAATTGGTTAAATACCTTAAGAACAAGGGTTGTTTAAATATAAAAATATCCAAAATTCTATGAATAAAAACAGACAAAATGAGTCTAGGGAACGCGTGGACGTGGTTTAGTTTGTAATTTCTTAAAGAAGAAGAAGTTGTTCACAGTTTTATCGTCTTTTGAGATGAAAATGCGCGATTTTTTCCCCGAAATCTTTGCTGTGGTTACTTTACAGTGAAACCCTTAAAAACGAATACATCGGAAGAATTTATCAAATGTCGTCTTGACAATTTTTCAATAGGTTGTTTACTATATTTCATAAATTTCAGTCGTATTTGCGAAAATAAATAAATAGCCATTAATATGCGGGAACAGTTTTAAAGAGTTCCATATAATCATTTAATTAAAAAACTGAATATCTGCAACATTCCATTATCAGAAGGTGAAGAATACGACATTTGATGAATTCTTTCGATGTATTCGTTATTGAGGGTTTGACTGTACTTATTTAAATAACTTAAAATCCCTCTATTTGATAAATCATAGTTCGGTATTGTTGGTCCAAGGGGGGTAAAATACGTTTACCTTGTAGTTGTAACTATACCAAGGGGGGTAAAATATGTATACCTTGTAGTTGTAACTATACCAAGGGGGGTAAAATATGTATACCTTGTAGTTGTAACTATACCAAGGGGGATAAAATATGTTTACCTTGTGGTAGTAATTATACCAAGGGGGGTAAAATATGTTTACCTTGTAGTTGTAACTATACCAAGGGGGGTAAAATATGTATACCTTGTAGTTGTAACTATACCAACTTCTTTCCCGATCATAGCCCCCCAGTTCATTATACTGTCAAGACGTGCCTTTTTCAGTAGTTCAGGTTCACATTCTCCATTCCTGAGTTAGAATTTTCTAAAGGAATTGAGTCTTAGCAAGAAACTCTGATTTTCTTATCTCTACATCTTTGCAACCTACCCAATGTCCTAGACATTAGATACTTCAAACTATGAATTCTGTTGGATCAAATGATAAAATTTTAAATATAAAAGCTTCACAAGGTCAGGTTGCAAAGTTATAGGGATTAGAAAATTTGAGTTTGTGGCAAAGACTCAACTCCTCTACATTTGTAAACTGGGGTCATATCTTATCTGTCTATTAAGGAGAGAAAGCTTTCAAAGCAGTCTCTGATTGGTTGAATCAGAACCAATCAGATCCAGGTTTATTTACGCTCGATTTTTCGAATAAGACGGGTTGAACTTGGGTTTAAGCTTTTAAAATCTCAGCTCTTGGTATAATAGTCAAAATGAGGTAAAAACACTGAAAAAGTCATTTTTATAATTTATGGCTTGTACCAGGATTATTTATGATATCGTCTAATCATTTAAATAAGCTTTAAATATTTGTTTACAGCATTTGGTTTTTTTTTACTTACTTTACTCTGTTGTCGACCCCAAGAATTCCCATATTTGTTTTTACACCTAAAATAATTCAATTCTTCTTTTTATATAATTTTTGTATTCCTTGTTTTTAATATACATAATATACCGCTGAACGATATTGTAAAAATGGAAGAAAAAAATATCTTTTTTCTTTTTAGTTCTCAGAAAAACTTTTAATTTGACAGATATCAAGAAAATTGTAAATAAAAAATATTTTCTTCAAATTGTAGCTTTCATTTTAGGTTGTCATAAAAGGCACTGTAGACGTAATTTCCAAAGATTTACCATTTGTAAATTCAAAACGGTACCATTTAAGCAGTTGCATGTCTGAGCAAGAATTTACTATTTTTATAATTTTATTTTTTTTTTAGTTTCTGGTAAGTTAAGTTTTTGTTATACAGACTTATAACGTAATGATGTCTGATCAAGAATTAACTATTATTGTTTTTGATTATCAATACAGACGTATAACATATTGATGTCTGATCAAGGATTTACTATTTTTGNAGTGCTTTGAATTTACTTGAATAATAAAAACAAATCTAGTGCAGCCTGGTCTCAGTAAATGTAGAAATACCTCTGAACTTTATGCACAGATGGACATCTTTTTTGTGAACTTCCGACATTTCTTTTGATCGTTGGACAAACAAACGACTTGGATCGTCAGAGAAATGAAAAAAACGACCATTTTAAAAAATCGTTTAAACGAACTTTGAAAAAACGATCATTTTAAACTGAACGAACGATGTTTCAAAGATGTTGACAAAACCATAATTTTTAACTAAACAATGACGTTTTTTAACTGAACTAACCAGTTAATTGAATGAACAATTTAATTGAATGAACAATTTAATTGAATGAACAATTTAATTGAATGAACAATTTAATTGAATGAACAATTTACTGAATGATCAATTTTTCTAAACAAACGACTATGAAATCGAACTAAATAGATTGCAAAAGAACGATATTTTTGAGAACGAACCAAATAATGTTTTAACGATTGAAAAAAAAATATCGAAATGGGTAGTTTCAAATGTTGATCGAATGAAATAAAAAAACGAACCTCCATATCTCTATGATAAAAAATAAACGCCATTCACTCTAGCTATTCCATGTTTATTGCATGGAATACCATTAATCTGCTCATAATCCCGATAGCTTGATCTTGATATTCACTTTGAATACTTTTGATTTGAAGATCAATTCTTGTCTCTTAACAGAGGATGGCGTTCTAGCTCATTGTAGAAATTCTTTAGTCAAGTGCATTTTATTCCCCGATGACATGAATATTTACAAGTGCAACAAACTTATTACACTCTTGGATTCAATCTTATTTATCATGATTTGGAAATATTAGTTTCAAAATGGAGAGAAACCTCCAAATAGATTATCAAGTACAATAGGTGGCAACAGAGAAATTAACCAATTATACACTACGTCACAAGTGTCAAATATAATAACGAAAACGAAATTTTTTCAAATTAGTTGACATGTTTTCCAAGATTAAATAAAAAAGTGTAAAAACAGAAACTAAAGAACACATAAAATTGAACTTATTTTACTGTAAGAAAAGCACTTTATTCTAAAATTATCACTATTATTGATGATTTTGTCGGACACTAAAACTGAAATGACACTTGTGACGACAGAATACAACTGTACTGAGAGTGTACATATTCTACGTTGCCATCTATTGTACTAGAATCTATTTGGAAACCTCTATTCTTTTAAGCTTTTACAGTTATTGTAGTATTTTAATCATCCAAAGGAATACACGGTCGGGTTGCAACAATTTAAGTATTAGAAAATTATTTGAAGTACCCTGAGCAAAATAGGGTTAAAACAACGTATTTACTGCTACAAAACAAAAACAAATTGAGTTTTTTATTACTTAAGTTTGATGTGCTAATAATAAACCAGAGGCCGGATTTAAAGAATTTAAGTCAAGGTTTAAATCCGCCAAAACCCGGTTTAAATTGAGCGCCGGCTTAAATCTTGAAACATTTGATACAATTTTAATTGAAACCAGCCATAATTAAGCCGCGGTATAAATTTAAACCACGGCTCAAATTCTTTAAATTCGGCCTCAGGAGTCAAGACTTTTAATTACATATAGTGCAAATCTACAACTATAATTGATCTTTACATATATCGCAGAAACTGTCCAACATGGTACTGCAAACTAGACAGAAGAAGACGGTTAAATTTATGGGATTCTTTGTTNAGAGCGGATTAAAAAGAAAATCAAAAGTTTCCACAGTGGATATTCAGATTAAGTGATCATAACACGCAAATCTGCCCCTTTAGTAAAAGTAAATTGAACCTATATGAAGAATAAAGTCTGACCGCGTCAACCTTGTTGCACCGGCTAGTCCTGTCCATAGAGCTAGGTACAGTACAAACTGGGACCGGAAAGTTGACCCGGCTCGGAAATTCAAATGTACTACGGCTGCCCGTGATAAGGGTTTCATTTCTACAGTTTTCAGCTCTGGCTACATACTAGCAATTTTAAACATATTTAGCCTTAATGAGTTATGATTAAATTATTTAAGATTTATTATGTCTTATGTGCAATTTACTTTAGTTCGACGTGCAGAGCATATTTAAAGGAATTAAAAGAATGATGCTAAGGAGAAATATACAGAGAACCATGCCGGGATGCCGGAATTTAACAAAAAGCTTTGACTTCGGGATAAGTTAAGGATGGAAGTGAAATATATATATATTGCTAGGCTTCCAGGGCGGTTCGCGCCCATCTTAGATTAAAATTATTGCTCTTTTATCGATTTTTTTTTGGATTTCGAAAAATCGATCTAAGACAATTATTTACATTTTTAACATTCCATAAGCCTTTTCTGGGATCCTGTGAGGTTCTATAAAAAAATTTGGGTCTGATCGGTTCAGCCGTTTTGACGTTTATTAGTTACAAACACCCACTCACCCAAACAGGCAAGCAAAGTATACAGGTTATTATTACAGTCGACAATAACAAAATTAATGTAAGATTTTTATGTTTCTTCAAGGGAACTGCATTAATGAAAAAAGATATTTATTTTATTTTAAATTATGTCTTAATATCCTAATAAAAACGCACAAACATCAATGACTTTAGCAAAATTAAGTATCAAAATAAAAGATTAAAATTCCAATTACTAGAAACAAGATAACTCATTGTTCCTCGATCAAACTGCCATAATCAACATTTGTCTGTTGTTAAAAAAGCGTTCTAATAATGTGGAGCTGCAGAGAGGAAATTACAAAGAGGACGCTCTTTTTAGAAAGTCCGAATGTGATATAAATACAGGGTTATCCACAAAAAATAAGACTTCTTTGCCTATTCAGTTAGTTTGTTATCTTTAAACTATATTGAAAGTAGAAAGCCAAATTCAATCTTCAGATTAAAACGAGTTACAGGTCGTCATTAAAGGATTATGCATTCTGGGTAACCCTGTTCATTGTTGCTATGAGGAAAAAGGGAAATGTTTAAGCTTACCTTTATTAACCCAGAGTAAGGAAATTTTTCCCAGTTTAAGGCATCCTCCTCTCCTGTTTTTCCAGCTTTCTGACCTGTATAAGATCAAGATAAAGATCAAGATAAAGATCAAGATCAAGATCAAGATCAAGATCAAGATCAAGATCAAGATCAAGATCAAGATCAAGATCAAGATCAAGATCAAGATCAAGATCAAGATCAA